AAGTATATCAAAGGCCCTCTGTGGTCCCAGATGCTGTGGGAAAAAAGTAAGCTTTTATCTTTCCAGGTGACCCTAAAGGCAAACCACAGCGCTAAAAATGAAAGAGGGTTTCTAAGAGGAGGCACCTATAATAGCAACTGTCTGGCAAAGCTACAATGAAAACTTCTCACTTTGCTGGATACTGATTCTGTTGACAATTGTATTACTTACACTCCTGCTGTTGGCTATATTTCAGTAGCTTTGATATGAGTTGCACAAACTGACCTTGGTAAATACTCTGCTTGACTGGCTCATAGAAAGGTTTTCAAAATGCAATGACAAGAAGAGTAGGGCCAGATCACATTTTAAAGCTGGTGGGAGAGACTTTCTCACATCTTAATGAAAACCTGAAAGTGATACAGAGTGAGAACTGGATTCTCTGCAGCTCCTGTAAAATCCGTTTTTATGCTTTCACACTCTTACTTTTCTGTGAGTCTATTTTTAGATTTGAAAGACAAAAGATGTCTAAAAGCTAGAAAGCTATCTTAGAACATCCCTTCATCCTACAATATCATTACCTCCCTGTTTCCTTAGTGATTTGTCTTCTATGTTCATCTACAATTATTATTTTGAAACTTGTTTTGCATTAGTAATAAAAGTAGAAGCATCAGTAATACTAACAGGGGCAGTAGTAGGAATAGCAACAGTAGTAGTATTATTAATAGTAGTAATATAAGTAGTAACAGTATTAATAGTAGTAGAATTAAAAGTAATAGAAGCAGTAGCAGCACAGGTAGTAGTAAAAGTAGTTGTGGTAGCAATAGTATTGTTATTAATAGCAGTAGCAGTAGTATTAATAGTAGTAGTAAGTATTATTAATAGCAGTAGCAGCAGAAGCATTAATAGTAATAGCAGTAGCAGCAGCACAGGTGGTAGTTTCAGTAGTTGAGTAGTGCTGTCTAGAACAGTGTTGCTACACTGACTGGGGTCCTGAGTTTGATTCCAGACTGGGATGTCTTCTGTGCAGAGTCTGCACTCCAGGGCTCCAGCTTCCTCTGAATTGTCGCCTGTGTATCTATCCTGTGATGGCCTGGCATCCTGTCCAGAGTCTGTCCAGCCTCGGATCTAGACTCTGGCTTTCAGTGGTGACCCTGTACTGGTCTAAGTGGTTATTGAAAATAGGCCGATTCTTCTTATTTTTTCAACTGATGCATTTATCCAAAGCAGCTTGCATTCAAAACTATGCACAGTTTAACTAATTCAAATTCAAATTTAAAATACTTTATTCCTCCCCATGGGGGAGAAAAAACATCTTAAAAACTGAAATTACAGTACATTAGATAAGGTATGGTTTGATTTTTCAGGATCAGCCTATTAAATAATATCATCAGCTATTTGATTACACTTGTTGTGAGGGTTGTCTACAGCAGATAATGACGTAGCACCCCCAGGTGGAAAAAGAGACAAATTGCTTTTAAAGCTTCAGGCTCACCATATAGTATGTTTGAAAATCTGTTTCTAAACTTTGGACGAATAAGTAATTGTTCTACTATTGTTGATAGTGCTGTGGTATTTCCCCATCGCCTGGGTTTGCCACACAAGAGATCACTTAGAAGCCTAACTGCAGACAACCTTAGAAGAATTATACAGCAATCATAGTCATCTGTGTAATATTAAGTATTAAAATGTTATTAATCTATTGAACTATGGGAAACTTGATTTAATATATTAACCAACATTTTAGCACAATAGTATATATTTTGCAAATCTTGAAGAAGTGATAACTCCTATAGTTGCAGCAAGACTGACCTTGAATTATAAGACCTCTACTGGATTGTCATCTATTAAGCAGAGAATTTACACTAAGGTCCTTAGCATCACTTTTGAATAGTTTGTTTTTTTATTGACTCTCTTTGATGCCAACTGTACCAATTTTACAAACATCTCAAAGTCCTGTGATCTAGTACTGGGCCAAAAGTGAAGCTGGGGCTGCAATCTTCAATCTGTTGAAACAGGTAGCCCTCGGTAGTTAAACATTTGAATTCTATGCTTTTATCACAGATGATTTCATTCACCTCTTATTGAAAATTCTATAATGATTAGTACTGTCTACACTTGTATTAACTCTACTGTGATATGGCATTTTATGATGGGTTTCATGACAGCTTGTAACATTATAACATGTCAGTCTTATACCCTTTAAGGTAATACTTCATTATTCAAAGGCTATTCATTTATAAAGTGCAACTTACATTACTGTATATACAGTACCCAGTTTCCTTGTGTTTCCACAATTATTTTCAATACCATTGTCATTCTTTTTTTTACCTCTCCAAATACAAGTATAAGTATAATTTTCATTCACTTCCTGTTTGATTTACAGCTGTCAGCCGAAACCTAACATACAATTGTGGTGCACTGAAGCCTTTCCCATTTCTGCACTAGCTTGATAGCACACACTTTGTCAAGCAAAAAGTCATGCAAGCTTCTTTTTTACAAATTCTCTAGGTTCTTTAGATAAGGTTATTGACGACTAACCATCAATACCTGTACCTGTATTTTTTTTTCTTGAAATATCCTGTAACGAACCTTTAAATTTTAAAAAATAATCTTGTTTCTTTTAGTATTTAAATCACTTAAAATATACTTTTCTGCTGTTTGTGCTGCAATGTGAACTCCAACTACTTCGAGTCCATGTGAGCCCCCTGTTGGTGATGTGGCACATTTCACAACAGTCTTACAGTGATTTCCTCCCAGAAAAGTCTATTATTTCTCAAATGTCATTAGCAAATTAAATCTAGGAATATGTGGAGGCTAATTCCAATCTGAAAAGTAGAAAGATAAAGTAGTTCTTAAAATAAAACTATTAAGAACTTTTGCCAAATATAACATCATCATAATAAATTATGATTATGATTTTTATAGTAACAATTATTAGTAGTAGTATTCCTACCAATTGCGAAGGGTGGGTCTTAGCAGTAAGAATTGCTTCTGAGCATGTTGTTAAATATTTTAGATTTGTGTTTATAATCTATGTTAATCGTAGTTGCAAGAATTGTATTGCTTAGCTCTCTAACCCTAACCTTCAAATATTTTGTCCTGCACAGTACACTGCATATGACACAATAGTGTTGCTACATTCTTTATTCTAATTTGACTGGATTCTGTGTCTCTAGCATGACTCTACAAAGATTCCAAAACTCTGTAGAATACAGCTTTAATATACAGTATGATCTTATAAAGTACTGCTTTACTATAAGACCTTTTAGAATATTGCTTAGAATCCTACAGTATAATTTAACTATTGTACAGATTATTGTATTTTCAAAGGACATATTTGACCACTGGATGAGCACATATCAGAATCAGCACAGTGAGGGCTTGACTGAAAGTTGAAAAAATGTTATAACAAGTTAAGTACCAAGAAGAGAAACAAGAGGTGTGAAGTCAAGGGTTCCTGGCAATCTAGAAATTCACTGAAGACCAAAGTTCAGAAAAGGAACCAGAGTGGAATGAAAACTCAGTCTTTGATGCACTAGTACCTCCATAAGGACAACAGCAGAATCCAGGATGTACCTGTATTTCATTTGAACATTTAGGAAAATACATTCTTTATTGTTTTTCACATTCAAGGGACAAGGACTAAACATCTCAGAAAAAAAGGTTTAGGGTTTAGATTATTTACAATGTTAGGGTAATGCAGAAGTTCTGACCATAGGCGTAATTGGGAAAAAATCCAAAACAAAGGTTTATCACAATCAGTAATTTAATTTCTAATGAGTACAGTTATACGCTTCTTTTCAAAAGGTCATATAAAGTAGAGTATAATGTATATTGTATATAGACACTTTATAATGTATAACATTTCTAAAAGAACAGATATACAATAAAATACCGGAGTTAATCTAATTTTGATTCATATTACTTTATCATGGTGAACCTGAATGACAGAAAGGGATTTTTTTTTAAATTATGACCTGCCACATGTATTAATCTTTTCAGGGAGTTTTGTTCTTAATGGGGCAAAGCCTCCAGGGCCTGGAAGGCTGATTCATCAGTGTCCATGGCAAATTACGACAAGATCAGTAATCCCTGGATCCTTCTTGTTTGTTTAGAGCTGTCTCCCAATTTACTGGCATTGTAGAAAGCTGCTCTCAAATATTTCATTGTAAACTTTTGATTGGTTGGTGTTTAGAAGTTTGGATTTTTTATTGACTCTAGACTTCTGAGTGGAATTACTGTATATATACAACATGATCTGATCCAGAATCCCGTAACTGCAATTTACTTGTACTGTATCTCAAGTTTACTTGAACTTTTTTTCCCCTGTATTTATGCTATTAACCGTTTTAACAAACTGTTCAGCCTTCTCAATAATTAGTGCCTGATTGGCCAGGTCTTTTAAAGGGGAGTCTGAAAGGGGATAGGGAAGGTGTCAGTGACAAGTATGTTACCATGAATCTGCAAAGGGAAATAAGATACAGTATAACAACCTTTAAATTCATCCATAAGTACCGTAGTCTTCAGAAAGAAAGGTATTTCGCTGGGCCATTTACAGTAAAACATCTACAAGCAAAGACAGAATATTTAAGCACCAGAGTGCAGTCCTTCACTTACCAGGAGTCAACGTGCTGAATATCACTTCCACACCTGATCTGAGTATGTAAAAGGCAAATTGGAGCAAGATGCTACAGTGACTTGCAAAAGCTTGAAAACTTTAGAAACAATCCTTTTGGTTAAAACATCTCAAATACCTTCTTGGTAAAACAAAATGAGGAAGAGAGCAGTTACTGTACATTGTATAACAATGCCTGAATACAATATCTGACTGACATGTTTACTACTGTGATTAGCTTATGTTGAGCAATATCACACTGCATATACAGAATAAGACATGTAGTAGTAATAATAAAAATAATGTAACGAAATGCCGAACCATGATACATAATGGTTTGATGTTTATCAATACATAATTCATTGATAAATCACAGTTTTGTAGATGTAGTTTGTTTATCAATCGCTGCAAACAACTGCACACAATATACTCTATGTATTGTTTAAAAACACTTAAGTTTTTAACAAACCAATGCAAAACATTTTATCCCAACACTCCCAGTAATGTTACTTGTTTCTAACAAATGCTTCACAGTCCTGTCATCCGTATTTAAGAGATTTTTCCAGGTAGTCTGAGGCTAAAGAGGGTTTTTTTAATTATCACTGTTACTCCCCTTTAAGATTCCTGTCGCCTTTAAGTGCTTTGTAGTGGTACTGCTGATAGTGGGAGGACTGCGCTTGGCTCTTTACTTCATCATGGCCCCCAGCTCGCAGCTGTCTTGTCTAAGGCAGAGCAGACGGGCAGTTGGCACTACCCTTTCCAAAACCGAACCGGTCTATCTCAAAACCCATTTCAGGTAGAGGCCACGGCGAAAAAGCCTCTTCGGCCTCCATGTCTTCATCAAGACCCTATAGCTTGTACAGTAACTTGACAAAGCGTGCAAACCCGGGCAGCTCCGGTAGAAACATGAGGGATTACTCCATCAACCTCTCGGTGCATCAAGCGCTGAGTCTTTGGGTCCAAAGCACTGCGCCGGATCTCCAGCACTTCACAGGTATGGAAGCACGCCTCGCTTGGAGCTGTCAAAGTGCATGTGATGTTTAATGGTCAGTTTTTCATTTCCTTCCTCCGATGGAAGTGGTCAAATTTGATTTTTTTGTGCGCGTCCATTTTTAAAGAGCTAGGAGCACAGTACCACTGACATAGCCGTGATGGAGAGGCACCTGTCGAAGTGTATATACTGTACATCACTGGTCGCTCTTAACAAGGCAGACTCACTGCAACATTCCTTAGCTTTATTTCTGCATCTCGGAACGAAGGTGATGCATACAGTATCTGTTCATTTGATTCTCCACATTCATCACACCTTGCCTTTTCTTTATGTCATGTTTGAGCAGCATAAATCGGATGAATAAGACCCATTAACTCAGTTTAAAGACAAATCCTTTTGTAGCGTAAAACCCCACTTTAATTTTAGGAGATGGTGTTAATTATTATTGTTAAATGCTGTTGTTGAATATATATTTTAACTACGGAGGAAGTATTGCTGTTGTAGTACGATTCTGCAAGGTCCGCATTTTAAGGCGTATATGCTGAATCTATCGGCACAGCATGTGACATCACAAGCACGTCTTTTCTGTAGGTCCTTATGAAATATCTTTATTATTCCTACTTTTACAATTCGGGTATGGATGCAATGGCTGCAATTGTTTCCCACTGCAGCAGTGAACGTTCTGATCAAATATTGCTGCCATCAATGTCTAGAAGCGTTTTCTTCGGCTAAGATGCAGTGTGCATAAATGTATTATACTGTAGTAGTTAAATGTAACGTACTGTGCTAAGCACACAGAACATTTTGACTGTCTAGACAACAGTCATGAGACTTTCCATAGCCTGACTTTAGTTCTTGATAGTTACAACCTCAGAACCTTGCTGGCAAATGATTATAATAATTAGCAACAGACTAATGTTAATTGCAGGTACATGTAGCTTGTTTAAAGAGTAAAGATGCAATGAAACTTGTCTGGGACTACACAGTGAGGCCATTTCTGGTCCCAAATTTAGCAAAGAAACACCGTAACTGTATTACTGGCTACCAACTTTTAATGAATTAATCTCCACAACAAGTAGATTTATCTGAGCATGTGGTCAGTAGTTTTGGTGGGGGGGGGGGGTTGTTTTGCTGTTCAATGAAAGGACTTACTGCATCTACCACCAAAGCACAGCTCCACTTAGGAAATGTTGCTGCAGCCACTCTACTCCAGCAGCTTAAAACATACAGTAATAGCCGAGGTAGAGAAGTACTTCAAACAATTGCTTTGAGAGTGGAGATTTGAATGTGCCAGCCTGAGCTGGAATTACAACAAACTCAGTGGTTAACCCATAGTCTAGCTCTAGCAAACAGGGACAGGGAATTTTAACTGACAAAAAGAAGTCAGAACTGTGTTTTGTCTGAAGGACAACAGTTCCTAGAGCACAATTCCCTCACAATTGAAACCACCTGGCCTCACAACTCCAGGACACCTTGAGACAAGGACTTCTTCTACTCCTAATTTGAAATGAAAAGGAGTATTTCAGGTGGGTAGCTGCGTCAGCATGCGTAGGCTGCAAAGGTACAAGTAATAGGTTTATTCCATGCTGAAAAGGGAAGAAAGAAAACACAGTGTTTCGCCCGTGGAGCCTTCTTCAGGTGTTAAGGTGCCATGGTGCCATGGTATCAGGTGCCATGACACCTGAAGCAGGTTCCATGGCCGAAACATTGTGTTTTCTTTCTTCCCTTTTCAGCATGGATTAAACCTATCACTTGTTCCTGAATAGGAGTATAACTTCAGCATGATGTCTAAATCTGATTTTACATGACATGGAATATTTTTTCGGTTATGAGACTTGAAGCTGTCAATAGCCTTTTCATTATTTTTATAATAGAATTCTTGGTGTAGATGTTGATCTATACAATATCTGTATTATCTATATTATAAATATTGTTTATCTACACAATATCTATCTTTATATTATCTACAGTATATTAATATACTGTATTGCTCCTACTCTCCTTCAGATTAACTGTTTTGTTTGCTCTAATTGGCAGCAGGAGGTAACTGTTGCTCACTCCATTGAATTAACAAAGTTAAAATTTAGATAAGTGCAGAGATGTTAATTTCATATTAGATTATGGTATCGTTATGGTTTCTTGGAATAAATTAAGGGTCAAAGAATGCTGAATAGAGGTGTTGCTCAGTGATCCTGTTTTGCCAGCTGAACATGTGCCATATCATGACTAGAAGCATCTAGCCATCCAACAGCTGCTAAGATGTTCCAGGTGGTCCAACTAAAAGTTCTACTGTACCTATTGTATCAACAAATCCACTAGTTGAGAGCACCAAACATTGAAATGGCAGAGTCGTCTAAGAAACATACATGTGCGACACATGGATTGTTGCATGATACTTTGAGAAGCAACATAAAGTTGGAAAGAATTTGTATTAAACCAGAGACAGACCTTCTGCACTGTTTACGTATAGCAGAATAGTTTCTCTATCAAGCTACTTTCACTTGTCTTAAAGGAATCAAAGGTCTTCCTCTACTTGGCATTCAACTGTAAAGCAATGTTGAAATCATTAGGCAAAGATTATAAAGCACGCACAATGGTCTTTATTCTGGTCATGAATTCCTCATAAAGTACATGTTCTCTCACACTGAGGTCTTAAATTGTAGCCCAGGTTCAAAATCCAAACAGTCATTCACAATCTCGCAATTCACAAACACAGCTGGCTACAGATCACACACTGTTATCCTCCTCCCTCTTTGTCCTTCCAATATTTATTCAACAGAGACTCAAGAAGGAGGGCAAGTCTCACTTAACTGGGAACTGGAATTATCAGTCATATCACAATTATCATACTAATAGACTTCTTTATAAAGATGACAACAAGCAATTTATTAATAGAAGTGGCTCCTCTTGACCTGCCTGTCTCTTCATTTTTATGCAGACTGACTCTGCAATCAGCTGATCTGTCATGACACCTGTGGTGATTGTGTGAATGATATGAAGATTTGCTATTGAACCAGATATTGTAACGAGCAGTTTTCTAGACCCTATGCGGACGACACAATCCGGAAAAAGTGAGGAAACACTTTGGAAAAAGGTCATGCAGGAATACGGGGATGAAAACAGGGGGGCGTGTCCAAAGTGCGCTGGTGCACGGGGGAGGTGTGGCCGAGGCAAACAATCCAAAAGTAATCCAGACGGGGAATCCAAGAAACGGGCAAAAGTCCATGGCCAGGTGATCAATCCACGACGAAGGCTTAAAACCAGGAACCGGGTCGGAACCGGCAGGGGGAACAGGAACAGAGACTTAAAAAAATGACGGAGCCAGACTCATCAGGACCCGGGCTCGCACAATATGGAAATCAGATGCAGAGCCTCGATTGGTGACTGCGTCTGGCTTTTAAAGGGGGACAGGAAGGAGGCTGGACCAAGGGACAGGTGTGGGGAATAAGGCAAATGAGGAAGAGCTGGAGCGCCCTTAAGAGGAGGAGTAGTGATCGTGACAGATATAGTCTGTATATACCAGGGATGGACATTATGGTGGCACAGTGCTTAGCATTGCTGCCTCGCCTCGCAGTGCTGGGGCTCTGGGTTCAGTTCTGGATCTGTGGTGCTGTCTGCGAGGAGTTTGTAAGTTCTCACCGTGTTCATGTGGGTTTTCGTTGGGCGCTCCATTTTCCTCCCACAGTCCGAAGACATACTGGAAGGTTAATTGGCTTCCCAAAATATTGGCCCTGGTGTGTGTGTTTGTGTCTATGGTATAGCCTGCCTTGGGCCCGTTGCTTGCTGGCTCCCAGCATCCTTGCGACCCTGAATTGCATAAAGCAGTTAGAAAATGGATGGATATATCAGGGATTTATGTAATCCCTGGTAAATGTGATTGATCATCTGAGTCACTAAAAAATGCCATTTTCAATACCAAAGCTTTGAGGTTTTCTCAGTTCCGGTTCTGCACTTGAATTGGAATTTACTGTATATGTGAATTAAAATTCAGAAATGATCCAAACTCTGCTATCCACAGTGCATGTCATTTTTTCTGATCTCCCTTATTCTACGTATTGCTAAACATCAATCCTCTCTGACTTATTCGTGCAACACGGGCACAATGGGGGCAGAGCAGAGGCATTTCAGAAATACCTTATGAAAGACATAATGTGCCATATTGATTTCCTCCATGTTGGCTGTTTGTTAAACTTTAAGATTAAAAGATCTTAAAGATAATCTTAAAGATGAAGATTAAAACATGGACAATAGTTACGTCTTTCAAAAGAGCTGTGTAAAGGAGTATAATTCAGCTGTTTTTTGCTAACACAAAAAAATTAATCTCTCTTTTGCAGTTTGTGTTGGAAATTAATTTAACTCAATCAGTTAATTACTGTGCAGCAACCAGATAAATTGTCATTGGTCGGCATAGAAAACTCAGAGATTATTTTGGTCAAGGTGCAAGGAAATTATCGGAATTAGGAAGTCAGATATTTTTTCTTCCCTGTAGGTAAATTGGTCAATTCTGTATACTGTAGGCTTAGAAAGTCACATCGTGATATGTTATTAAGGACATTATAATAACTTACAGTGCATGAATGACCTTCTGTGCTGGAAAGTGCAGAAAAGCAATAATAAAAACATCCAACAGTTAATTCTGTGTGGAATGTTATTGCTGCCGCTGTGGTGTTGGTCCCTCTGGATTCTTCAATTTGTCAATTATTTTCGGAATAAAAGCACTATTTAAATGTAGTTGTTGTTACTCATTATATAATTGATTATATTGCATAATATAATTATTATTAATTAGTCAAGTTTTTTGTGTTTTTTACAGTCAGGGAAAAGACCTGCTTTATAGAATTCCAGACATCATAAATAACTCCTCTTCCTATCTCTGCAACTGAAATATGTAATAACATTTTGTCAAGATAAAATTTAAATCCTTGAATCAGATATTTGTCCTCTTGAAATCACTGTTGTATATGTATTCTTTAGCATTGCTATCTTAATGATCTAACATGGTAGTGACAATAATTCACCTTAAGTTAATTATTAAGGCTCCTATCATCATCTGCAACTTTTGCCCTGTTTATTTCTCTCAAAGCCCAGTTAACATCTGTTTAAATAAATCTAGTTTCTGTAGAGGAATGGCTGGATAAGATCCTCAAGTCAATTAACGACCAATAAATAATTAAGGGGCTAGTTGGACTAAATGGCCTCCTCTCATGTGGAGCTTTTCTTATGTTTTTATGAATGTGAAAAGGCACATCAAATCTTAAGTCTACAGGGGTAGCTCCTTTGTTAATAATGGCTATTAGAGTATCCTGAATATTTACCTTTCAATCCTTTTATGTTACTTTGGAGAATAAAAGGAATCAATCCCCTGGTGAACTGCTGATCGACTTCACACTCGTGCTGGGATGCCCTCAGACAGTGCCACGTGTGTTTCTGGTAGTATTTATATTGCTGTATGTGTGGTTTTGGCCCGGGCCAAGAGCCACTTATACTCTGAAAACCACAAGGTATTAGAGCCTAACCTGATTATCACAGCGCTGCAGTGATGAATCCACTCCCAGTGGTGATGTTGTGTAGAACATTTGCCACTGTGTACTTAAGCAATACCATCCATGTGGATGTGGATGATGCAGCTTAAGTAACAGTGCCATTATTTCCTAATAAGAGCCTGAGAGTAACAGAGCAGTTTCCTTTTACTACAAAAGGATATTTCTGCATGTGAAAACACCTTATTCCTATAAATAACACCCGTATAGTTGGGCTTTAATTTTGTGGCGCAAGTAATTTATTCTTAAATGTTTGCTTGAGTGAAGGATTATGGAACCATGAGTCAGTTTAAAATTGTTTTTAAGTTATTACTTTGGACTAAATATTTGAGGTGCAAGAATCTGAGAGTCCTACATGCTCCTAATGGCCTGCTTGAATTTTTCTTAAATTTGTTTTCAGCTTTATCTTTCTCTTTGGTTGCTGTCCATTGTGATTTTGGTGTGACAGTACAGCTCTGAGTGAATGATTGTGCTCTTTTCCTCAGCTGACATGCTGTCTCCCTGTTGTGACCCCCTGCGGTTTGGTGTCGTTGCAGAGATGTGGTACTGTGTATTCCTGTGGGCCCTGTTCTCTTCGCTGTTTGTCCACGGTGTGGTGGGCGTGCTGATGTTCATCATGCTGCAGAGGCACAAGCAGGGTCGGCTCATCGCCCTCGTCCTGATCAGCGTGGGATTCCTGGCCTCAGTCACTGGCGGGGTCATCACGAGTGAGTTTTCTTTTCTCTCCTGACTGCGGGAGATGGCTGTGGGCTCACGCTTGAATGTCTCTCTGTGGTAACAAGTGCGGAATTACTTTTTCAGAAGGAATTGTCGTTCTAGAGCATCTTTTCCAGGAAAATTCATTCCCTGGTAAATGCTACACTGCATTTGTGTACTTTTTTGTCCAGTTTAAATGGGAGGTGACACAGATAGCCAAATATATTCTTAATCATCTTTATACCAAAACACTGCATGTTTGATCAAAGTTCTTGGGGTCCCAGCTTTGATTCCAGACTGGGGTGCCTTCTGGGTAGAGTTGGCATATTCTCCCCATGTTTGTGTAGGGTTTTCTCTGGGTGCTGTGGTTTCCTCCCACCTCCTGAAGACCTGCACTCTAGGTCAATTGGTATATGCATTTCATGTCTGCATAAGTCTTTAAATGTACTGTCCTGTCCAGCATGTTGTCCCACATTTAGCCCTATGACTTCAAGATAGGCCAAGGACTGTGGAAGCCCACAGCAAGAATAAACACACTTCTGAGAATGGATGGATGGTACCAAAAATGCATTCATTTGTATTGTAGGAATGTAGACAGTAATCCATATTTGCTGTTGAGATTATTTATCTACATATTAAAAAGTTCAAATGGGGAGAAATCATCTTCTTAGAATGAGAATACCAATAGAATAGGAATCAGAACAAGGACAGAGAGAGAGTCAGAGGGAGGGTGATGGACAAGGCTCAATAGCTTGACTTAAATAGTCTGGAGAAGACGAGCGCTCATGGGAGATCTTGTGGATCTGAACTGACATGAGTGGATGCCCGTCAAAGTCAGCTAACGACAAATGCCAGACTCAAAAGGGAGATGTTAGGGTTGCAGGGCTCAATTCATGCAAATGCCTAGTTTTTGTTTTTTTAAAGCACTTTAGTAGCCCTTTCCCTCCCATCCCGTTATGCTGTTAGTGTTATCAGTGAAGGGGATGAAAGTGGTGTGAGGGGCCAAGGAGACATGGACTATCAAAAAAGAAAACTGAAGTTCTGCTGAAAGATATTGTGGAGCTGAATGAGTTCATTTGGCTTATATAATGTATTGCGCGTTGGCTCTGAAAGCATTCTTGATTTTTTTCTAAATCTTTCCATAAAGAAAGGATACCCCACGGAATTTTTTAGAAGGTGATTTCCAAGGTTATGGCCAGTTGTGTTTGTGTTTCAGACAGATAACGACTGTACGAATAACGAAACGATAACAAAGTGATCTCATTTTAGACAATATGGACATGATAGGTGGCTGTTGCTGACCTGTCTGCCCAGGAGATGTCGTTATACCTCAAAAGCAGTTGAGGACAGTGGGTGGTAAGTAGGCCAGTAAGATTGTTTGTGTGGAATACAGTGTACTGTAACAGATAATACGCAGGACTGCTAAACTAGGGCAATGTGCCGTGGCACTTTATTGAGCTCTACTGTGGATCAGAGAGATTCACAAATTGGCTGCCTCGTTATTTTATTGATTGCACAAACATTGCTTTCATCTGGAATTTGTCACTCCTGCTGAAAGTTCCGGATGAGCTCAGCCACTTTCTGCTCTGTTACCTTTCAGAGAGGGTCTCTGATACCTTAGGTTAGAGAGGATTGGTATATGCAGATCTCTTGAGCCATGTCAGAGCAATGAATCAAAATAAAACTTATCAACTGAAGTCCTTCAACCATCCTCCTCCCTCCCACCACCATGGAACAGCAACGTAACTCAGAAACCACAGTGTGTGTAAAGGCTTTAAATAACAGGCCAGAGAAATGAATGAAGAAATAGAATAATAATAATAATTAATAATTGCTTATACTTATATAGCGCTTTTCTGGACACTCCACTCAAAGCGCTTTACAGGTAATGAGGACTCCCCTCCACCACCACCAATGTGCAGCCCCACCTGGATGGTGGACGGCAGCTATAGTGCGCCAGAACACTCACCACACATCAGCTATCAGTGGGGAGGAGAGCAGGGTAATGTAGCCAATTCATAGATGGGGATTATTAGGTAGCCATGATTGGTAAGGGCCAATAGGAAATTTGGCCAGGACGCCGGGGTTACACCCTACTCTTTTCGAGAAAGGCCCTGGGATTTTTAATGACCACAGAGAGTCAGGACCTCTGTTTTACGTCTCATCCGAAGGAAGGCGCCTGTTTACAGTATAGTGTCCCATCCTATACTGGGGCATTAGGACCCACATGGACCACAGGGTGAGTGCCCCCTGCTGGCCCCACTAACACCTTTTCCAGCAGCAACCTTAGTTTTTCCCAGGAAGTCTCCCATCCAAGTACTAACCAGGCTCACACCTGCTTAGCTTCAGTGGGTTGCCAGTTGTGAGTTGCAAGAGGAGTTGTTTGATGTCTCTTTGGAACAGTTTCTCTTCGTGCCTTTTAGTCATATCTTCATTTTAATTTCTGTTTCTTTTAGTGGGAAACTTTCAATGTGTGCTAATGACAGAAGAATCTTCAATTTTGCCACCTTGCTGCAATGACTGTCATGTTGTTCTTGAAATATACAGTATGTTGACCTGGTTATTTCTTGATATACTACAGTAGGTGGAGCAGAATATCTGGGCTGTTAGCTTCTGGCATCTGTAATTTATATTTTATGCAGTCATGGAAATAGAAAAGACAGGCATCGCAATCCGATTCGGACATCATGTTCTGAACTTGGACACACAGATGCATAGCCAATGTGTTTCGCCTTCCTTGAAATCTCACTTGGTGGAAAGAGGATTGTGTTTGATGAAAAACGAATTGGATTTCTGATCTGTACAACTTGCATAGGATGTCCTTTTTGTTGCATTCTTGTAATTCATCATAGATTTTTGTTGTCTTGCTTATTATTCTAAAACTCTCACAGTCCTTGCAAAGCAAGTTATGTTCACTCACCTGTAGCTCCCTTTCGGATTCAACACAAGCTTGACATTGCGGTTTTGTATTTACTGTACAGTATGTCAGCATCAGAAAATTGATGGTCCTCCTTCACTGTCTTTTGTGTTGCTTATGTGCCCATAGAAATGTGACACTTGTTGCCCTTTAGCTAACAAATATAAGGAATTATTTATTCCGAAAAATAATAAATAGGAGTATGGACTTTGTAAATTCAGGATTTTATTTTTACTCTACACTAGGGGTCTCAATCTGCGTTCCTGGAGGGTATGGTGACTTCAGGCATTTGTACCACCCATGTTTGGGTTCTCAGTTACACAGGTTCATTATTCAATTCGCTGCAAAATTGGAATAATGGAATAATGTTAACAATGGTCTATGTAATCACCTGGAAAATAGTTTAAGAATAATCCTATTTATGTCTACTTTAGAAAAACAATCAGATAAAATTGTTTTAGATAAAAATGTAGTTTAATTGATTATTCAGGTTGAAACAAAACCCAGGAGACACAAGGCCCTCCAGGAACTGGGTTTGAGTCTCTGCTGGATTGGAGCCCCACAGGACAAGGCTTGGAGACCCCTGAATTAAATAATACCATAAATGTTATACATCCGAAGACAAGCTGTAGAAACATGTGCTAGCTGAATTGAGAAGGAGGCCCATCATCCCAGCATGTAAACCCTTGTGGCTGTCTGAATTGACCCTGTAGTCAGATGTGGTGTTTCCATCCTCATGATGCCCCAGAGGCATGTACCAAGAACAAGAAGTCTTGCTAGGTTACTTTCAGTATGTCAGCTTTCTTTCCCATGGCACAACACACCGAGAAATCGAATCCTGGTTCGCTGGCACTATACTGTACTCAGCTGTCACTGAGGAGCAATCACCGAACAATTGGTCTGGGCCCAGTGTCAGAAGAGCGTGCAGTAAATGATGTTTAGATGTGGAAGTGGATACAAGTACACTGATGGAGTCTAGAACCAAACCATTCAAGCCCTGAAACAAGCAGAAATCTAATTCTAATTAATCTGATTCTAAAATCCACAGGACGTCAGTGGGGGGGGTTTGTTTACAATCTGAGCAGATGAGTTCTGATCATGCTGCAACTTAAGAACATGCTTGGATACACCCACAATCACTGCATTAAAGTACTGAACACAATACAGTTAGTAACAAAATTGAGCTTATGGAGATCACAAGTATGCCATTCCTAAACTTCCTAAGGAAAACAACAGAAACCTGTTGAGTTTAAATACATTTTTGGTATATTGCTCCAATTCAGTTCTTTTAGTAAAATTGCTGTCTAATTCTCAAAAACTCTCCTGTTGGGTTTTCTGGACTACAGTGCATACTGAAACAATTACACCTGGTGATGACCTTGTACTGCTGTGTCAAGTTTTTACTCCAGATTTTTTTAATGACGAGAAACACTGGCATGAAATGTCAGTTCCAAGGGTTTGCGTCTCGCGTTCTCCAGCTTCTTGTCCTGCCTCAGCTCTCCTTCCCCGGTTACAGCCTGCGGTAACAGCGGCGTTGTCTGTCTTCTAGGTGCTGCTGTGGCAGGCGTGTATCGGGTAGCAGGGAAGAACATGAAACACATGGAAGCCTTGGTTTTCGGCGTGGGACAGACCGTGCTCACCGTCGTCATCTCCGTCTCCAGGATCCTCGCCACACTCTGAAGGAGCACCCCTCTGCCCACGGCACGAGATGGGCTGAATTCTGAGCTTCCTCCGGGCCTTCTGATTGGAGCCTACAGGAGGAGAGGGGACAGTACCCTTGGAGGAGTCGGCGTGTTGGAGCAGGAGCCTTTCGGGGCCTGAGTTGTCTGCAGGCCTAGGTTAGAATTATCTGAGCACTCCCTGGTGTTCAAGCTGTTGCACTACTGCACCTCACGTGCCTCTGTCAAAGGCCAGGTGCAAGGAGCACATTGTCACGGCATCTCGAAGCCTTCTGATCACCAAGCACTTTGCACATCTCATGGCCGGCTTAACCCTGGCCAGCAGAGAGGAGCGGTAAGAGCTATACAAGGCTTACCAATATGCATGGGCTGCAGGATCTCTGCTCTGCATCAGCGTCATGTGCCAATAGGACTTTTTACAAGTGTAAATAAACTTTTAAAAAGGGATAAGAAGATCGAAACTGGGAGTCAGACGTTTGGTAGGAAGCCGTATTGTTTTCCCTGTGTGAGAGGGAATGTGTAAGGGTGCCATTTTGTTTGCTGCTGTTGTAGACGTGAAATTACAGTCGTGTACAGACTTACATGTTACATGTGAAAGTTCGGGCTTTTCTGCAGTAGCCTTGGGTGTCTGCTCCACTTCTGGCAAATCCATTTATAGATATGTGTGTGTATATATATTTATTTTAATTTATTCATGTCATTTTCTGCTATCAGTGAGCACGTTCCTGCATCATGGCAGTCTGTTAACTCACAACGACCTAATAAAAGAGTAGCTACAATGTGCAGCGACAGTACAGATCATTCAAAATGTTTGTGCTGGAGGCATGCCAGTAGCTGAGAAACTAAATAATTTTGCTGGTTTTCTCAAACTACTTTTGCCTGCCTTAGTATTGTGGTGCTAGTGAATGGCACCCCTTTTTCTTTTGAGCTACAGTACAAAAGCTACTTCTCAAAACAAATAACCAATCCAATTATTCCACAGTATTTTCAATTACAGAAGGCAATGTGAGTGGTTTGTTAGCATAAGCAGTTGTAGTGCACTTTACAGAGGTTTAAAAGTTCCTCTTCTAAACTGTGGCACGTTGGGGAACTACTGTACAGTATGTGGGGGTCCACAGATGTTGCAGTATCTGTTATCACAGCAGCTGCCCCTGCACAGACAACAGACAGTTCCTTCTCTGGATTGTGGTGTTTATCATTCTTTATCAATATCTCAAACTGGACCTTTTTTGAGGATGTAGTGTATGTGTAGTCATTTAACACTGTCAATAATCCTATAAGCAACAAGCACTACAAAATGTGTGAAAGGGCAAATTAAATCCCTTTTAAGGTAGGGATTTTATACCACCCCCCTGACGAATAATGGAAAACACCAATAGTGACGAGTTACAGTATTTTCAAAAATGTAAAATGGTCCATCCCTTTGGAATGGATAGTCTCTATGACTCAGTTATTATCATATTATATTGACTCCTTGACATCAAATTTTATCTTAATTGACCAAGAAAGCTCTCCAAGACGCATGTCCCATGGCTACTCATCTTCCATTTTGTATGATAATGTGTAGCTCTCTGCAGCACCTTTAGATGATTTCTCATGATTTCTTATGATGGCAAGAATGATTCCTCTATCAGTGTTAAGAATTCTGAATTTCTGTGGAAGGACTTAGAAGTCAAATGCTTCGTTATTGTTGGACAGTGTGAAATAATTTATTGTATTTTTATTAACTTCATGCATCATAGTTGAGCATAATGAATGAAAAAAGAGCTTTTATTTCGAGCCCAGAACTGTATTTTTTTTGCAAAATAATGCAATATCAAAGTTAGAATAGATGGTTTTTCTTTGAGACCATTGACCAGTAAAAGATTACAGCATTAAATTGAGAGTTGACTACATAAGATGAAGATCTCAGCTCCATATGTTTTCAGTATTATTTTTTGATAGCTGAGAGTCACCCTGGAGACACTAATTTGGCAGGAGAACAGCTGCACCATTACCGCACCATTACTCAAAAAGAGTAGGGGTGTAACCCCGGTGTCCTGGCCAAATTTCCCATTGGCCCTTACCAATCATTGCCTCCTAATAATCGCCATCTATGAATTGGCTACATTACTCTGCTCTCCTCCCCACTGATAGCTGGTGTGTGGTGAGCGTTCTGGCGCACTATGGCTGCCGTCGCATCATCCAGGTGGGGCTGCACATTGGTGGTGGTGGAGGGGATCCCCATTACCTGTAAAGCGCTTTGAGTGGGGTGTCCAGAAAAGCGCTATATAAGTGTAAGCAATTATTATTATTATTATTATTATTATTATTATTATTATTATTATTATTATTATTATTACCATTACACTCAAAAGCAGCAAAAAACTTTGGGAGAAGATCTTGTTACGGCTTTTGTGCCAACTAGTGGTGGAGGGAGAATACAACACATAGCATTCCTAAAATTGATCCAGAGGAGTTTTAAGGCAGATACAAGGGTTAAAAATTGAATAAGAAATGTAATGTATGGACCAGAACTACGTACTGGAGATGGTGCTTTGTGTAGAAGTGCTCAGCATGTTTCAAGTTGTATTAAATATACATTACAATACGTTTAAGTAAACCTCACCTAAACAAATACTGTGTGTGTACCATTATGCTGAATAAAAGCCAAATGAATGTGGGTCAGATCAGATCTGGTGAGAAGGGAGAATGGTGAGGTGTGACATGACTGTCACCTCTGGCATCTCCTGTGACATTACTGTCCAGCATGCAGATCAGAGCAGACTCTTGCCATAGTGCAGTGTCACATCACATTTGTCTTTATAGTACATCTTGTGCCATAGTGGGGATAAAAAAGCAGGCTTTATTTTCTCTTTGGAGCGCAGCCTGTTATCACAGATGACCGTCAATATTTATTTGAAAACTAGGAAATCATTAAATAGCATTTCACATCTAAAAAAGTCTAAAAAAGTCACTTAATTATAATGACTTACATTATCAGTAATATATTTGGCAGGACTTCAGGTTTTTTTAGTAAATTCAGTGTTATTTTTTTGTGAAATAAGTTATTATAAAAGAGGCCAGAATATACTGTATAAGTGTTTCCTGCTTTTGTTTCCTTAGTTGATTCAAGAAGGAGCCCGATGAAAATTTCTGTCTGTAGAATGTAATTCATGTATGTAACTGCTTAAATGGATAAAGTTAAGTTATGACCCCATGTTCCTATTTTGCTTGTGAGACTGAAGTAGTCCCCACGGTTGATCCTGCCTATAACACATAGAATTTTATACACTTTGATCACATCTTCTCTTTTTCTCCCGTGTTCTGTTCAGAAGAAATTAAGCTCTTTTGTCTGTATGTGACAGTCCCTTAAGGTCAGGACTCCTTTTTGTTGCTCTTTATTGAATGTTTTCCAAGATTATCATCTTCTTTTGGTATTATGACCAAAACTGGACACAGTAATCAACATTTCTCATGCTTTGTAGAGCTCATGTCAAGCAAGTTTGGTGAGCAAGATGCCTTATACAGTATATGACATAGGGTTCCCACAGATTTTCAGTTCTAGAATCCTGCTTACTTAACAGCAACAAAATGAGAAAGGTTACAATCTGTGGAAGCAGAAGTCATGAAAATAGGTGAGCTCAGTGTCTGGGCATGAATATGCCGCATTATTCAGTAAAGGGAATAAAGATATATCAAAGACCCAAACCGGGGAGACCGAATGTGTTGCAGTTTTGAGACAGTTCTAATTACGCAAATCTGACCACCTTTAGTTTCTTGAATTGCAAATGCCAAAATGTTTCAGGTTTATTTTTAAAAACGTTCTTCACTGCAGACATCCATATATTCTATGGAATATATTCTAAATTCACCAATCAGGTTAATAGAGATGGAAAATGAAAGTGGCTGTGCCATTCACACATCATCGCATGCCATTACCCTAATCACAGCCTCAATTAAAACAGAACAGCTAAAATAGAATGGGACTGTGGTGGAAAATTTGTAGTATTGAGTTGTAGAGGGCTGATACACTCCTAGCATATACTGTAGCTTATGGAAATGGAGAAGGGAGGAGACTAGAAACTACAAGGTCCAGAATTCATAGCTACCAGAAAAGGAAATGAGTCCCAGCTGAACTCACCTGTGCTTCATTGAGTCCAGGTATAAAATTTCCACTGTCAGGGGCTGATGGGAGTCTTATAATCCTCCCAAAGAAAGATAGAGGTAGAGTAGAAACCCTAAAGTATTGAAAGAACTAATTAAAGAAAGTACAGTTGTGTGGAAACTTGAGCTCTTGTTTTGGAGAAAAACCTGCTCTGGATTCTGACCCCTGACTGGAAAAGATCTCAATGTGGTAAAGTTTTTTCTGATGTTTTTTGCATTCTGGTAATTAAGTTAGTTCTGGAACTGAGAGGTAAGAACCTAAAGAAAAAAAGAAAGTGCTACTGAAGTTCTGTTTTCTTTGGTTTTGTTTGTTGTGGCTTATGTGAAGTGTTGACATTCAATATATTTTGGTAAGGAACTGGGAGTTTTGTGTTGTAGTGCTCAAACAAAAGATTTCCTCATACAGTTTCTGTCCCTCAGTGTGTCTTGACTTTGGACCCTTGTGAAATGTATAATAAGTCCAGTTCTAACTATTCTTAGCTATTCTTAATGATTGCAGGAACCCAAGATAGTATTTGACTATCAAATAGTTACAAGAATGTAATCAAATCAAATCAAATAGTTACAAGAATGTATTATCTGAATAGTTTAATAATCTTCTTTAAAGATTAAGCTGTTTGTTTCCATTTTTCTCTACAAGCACTATAAGGTTCTATCACTTGAAATTGCCTGAAACCAGATGACTGAAAGTTGTTTTCATAGCTCACATGAAAACGGAAAACTAAAAGTAACTGCATAAAGCTCTCCAAAATGAAATAAAATGCCACAGGCAATAAAAACAATGGGTTTCAATATCTTGCTTTTAACTTGTATGAAACATAGTTAAACCGGGATACTGGTAACAATGAAAATTAACACACTTGAATAAATACAGTACCTTTTAGTATTTACTGTATTTGTTCAAGCTTTCAATATGTAAAACATTCTGAAAAAATGAAATAATAAATGTAAGAAATTGGCACCTACAAAAAACCTGAACATTCTGAAGAGGTGATTCTGTATGCTCTGGAGTGATCCTGGTGTACTAATGACAATAACTATATGCTCTATGACTAAACGCAAACAGCAATTTTAAATCATGTTGAACAGTTGAAGTGCTGCCTACCTGCAGTTAAGGAATCAGTCTAATCAAGAAATCTCATACCTTTCTGTGTCAGTCTGTTACTCTTAAAAATCCATCCCCCAATTTTCCAACCACTCTATCTAGGGTTGGGGGAGGGGGGGAGCCGGAGTTCATCATGGCAAGCAATAGGCGCAAGGCAGGGTACACCCTGGATGGGATGCCAGTCCATCTCAGGGCATGCACTCACACCAGGGCTACTTTTCCCAGAAGCCACTTAACCTTCTAGTGTGTCTTTGGACTAGGGGAGGAAACGCACGTGAACATGGCCAGAATGTACAAACATTAAGCAGATAGCACTCTAGAACCCAGGACCTCAGTGCCGTAATGCTAATCACGGCACCACTGTGCCGCCTACTCTTGAAAATGCTTTTGTTAAACAGAATTGCTGCAGGAACTGATGATCTATAGATAGCAGTGGTCCAGAAATAAGTGGTTCCTTGCATCCACCTAACTTCTCCACCAGTTGGAGACAGTCTGCCGACTCTGAAAAGCTCCATTGGACTCGAGCCATGAATTTCAAAAGACATGGAGGATTAAAACCACTTCATGTGGATTGCAATGTACAGTATAACAACCACAGCTGAACTCCTTAAATAACCTTGAAACTTGAAGCTTTTTTTCCCCCCAGTTTGTTATTGTATTTCTGGACCTGAACTCTGGTCTGCTCCTACCTCCCAGACACAGACTGGCTAGGTAAATTTGGCATCTTGTAATAATTCCTTACACTTACATACCATTTTTCTGGAAATGCACTTTCCAGGTAACGGGGTCTCCCCTCCACCACCAATATGCAGCCCATCCTGGATGATGGGATGGCAGTCAAAGTGTACAGCTATCAGTGGGTGGGGGGGAGGGGGACAGAGTAATGACACCATAATGATGTGGATTATGAGGAGGCCAAGATTGGTAAAGGCCAGGTTTCTAAATTGCCCGTATGTGTGTCCTGTGCTGGACTGACCTGTCCGCAGTGTAGTTCTTGTGATTCTAGTATAGGCTCTGGATACTGTGCTCCAGGGCTCTGACTGTAGTTACTGGACTGTGAAGCCAACTTATTTGAGCATAGCGCCGACAGCACTGATTCAGGGTTTTCTTCCTGTCTAGTCCCTCTGGGAAACTGGACTCCTGCCTCATTATTGTCCTTGAGGACAGGGATGTTAGACTGCACATACTGTACTTACTCAATAATTATGTTCTGTATTTTTTAAAAGTAGGTAGATATTTAAAACTAGAGTACAAAATACAGTATACTGGTGCTTATAGTTGTGAAAAATCCATACACATTTTTTATAAAACAAATTTAGTTTCAAATGTGCTATTAATAATAGGCCTTGACTGCAATAAAAATTAAATGTTCTCACCTGAACTTTGCTTACTGAAAGGTTATTTTTTTAAGGAGCTCTTCAATAAAACATGTACCTCTAAAACAACTTGGGGACAACGTTCCCTTTATTGCAGTGAAGGTTTATTATTATTTATTATTAGCCTTAAAAACAATATAGACAAGAGTGGGCATGTTGGTATAAGATAAGGAAAGATGTACAAATTCACTGGGCTAGCATGAGACTGAAAGTAGTGATTCATAATCATAAAAGAAAATTATTTAAAGTTTCGCTTTTCTGATTTCTACATTTTCTTGATTGACTTATTGACACTTAAAGACTGCTACTGCTGTGCTTAGTCTTTTTTTTAACCCATGTCTGATGAATTGGAGTGCTTGTTTGTTGTAGTACAACCCAGCATCAAATTTAATGACTAAAATCACTAAAGCTTCTGTGAGCTTCATTTTCTAAAAATAGACAAGATAGTTCTGGCAA